TAAGGAAACTGCTCTATAAGTTTTGTAAGTGACTTTGGTTTATGTCATTATCCTTATGTGATAACTTTACTTGCAAATTACATGAAGCTTATAGGTGAGTTCTGTGAGGAAGATCTGTAATCACTCATCTGCCTGGTTTCCTGTGTGTTCAGGTGCTAATCAGTTCCTTACATCAGTTCCACTTTCCCACACTGTCAAACTCAATGCTGACATCATCGTACATCCAGCTTGTTATCAGTGCTTACTTCAAAAGTCTGCATTCTGATGGTACGGTGGTGGCATCAGTGCCAGTGGAATTAGCAGCTTGCACATCTGAAAATAGCAACTGTCAGTACTGAAAGGTATATACAAATGTAATAGCAACATATAGTCTCATCCTGAAGTGATATATTCATTGAAGACTTTGCTTATTTCAGCAAGACAATGGTAAACAACAAACTGGAGCTATTACAACAGCATTTGCTGTTACCAGGTTAGACTTGAGTGAATTTTACACGTATCAGTTTCATGTTCTGGGTTGTTAGTAGTTGTACCCAGTTTTATCTTGTTTTGCTGTAGTTCATCTGTTTCACGGTTCAGTGTGTTGTGTGAGGCTTTATTTCAGGCAATTTATTTATTTGGTAGGAAAGTGTAGAACGTGAGAGGAAAGTTGGACAAGAATGAAGACATGGAGAAAATAGTCTGGGACAGAGTTGAACCAGTGTCCCTCCAGAAGGCCTTTGGTGGATGGGTCACCTCTTCTTTGTCTGTTTTTTATGTGGTGTCAAAGTCTCAATGTTCAGCTGAGTTTATAAATAACTTCAAGGTGTATAGTATAATTAAATAAAGGTTATAAATAAATAAAATAATTTATATATATAAAAAATGTGTCTACAAACGTTCTTGATTTTTACCACACAATGGCCAAACCATTAACTTTATTTGAAGGTATATATCAACATCCTTAAAGTCTGACACACAAACAAACAAGAAAACTCAGACTTTATTATGAAAATTGTTCTGTCTATGGGTGGGGTATTCCACCTACACAATCAAAAGTAAAGATTTGTCTTTTTTTGTTATTGCTGTTCAGTCTTGAGCTTGTGAGCATGACTCGCATCTAAAGATTCAAAGGTTTAGGCAACAAAACAACACAAAATTGATCAGAATGTTAATCCAGAGGGAGGGAAACACAGGAACACTCTTGACATTCCTTAGAGATGGGACACCAGGGAAGACCTGTGCACAGGGAAACATACAATTAATTGCCAGAAGTCGTAGAGGACACGGTCATATATCTCAGGGATGGTTTCATTCACAAGGCAGGTCAACGATTTAGAGTTGAGTGACTGTCAGCCACTGCCTCAAGAAGGTGGGTGATGATCCACATGTGAGGAGGGCGGGGACTTGAAGTAAGGCCGCCCACAACGATTACACACAGACACAAAGCTGCCAGAGGAATATCAAGGCAAGAGAATGATTAGCCTGACTGGGGAAAGGGGCAGGACAAACTTCATGTGTTGTGATTCCCGGCACTTTTAAGACTACATTACTACTGTCCTGTACTGTGTAATTGAAGTTTATTTTCTGTTAATGTATCTCACAAAATGTCTAAATATTTTGACTCTCCTTTTATTTTGATTGCACCGACTTTTTCACAGACATTTCAAAATGAATAAAGTTTTTTATTGAGTTACAGGCTTTTTGCATGTTAACTATTGTCTTTTGGAAAACGCTTATTCAGGCTTGAAAACTTCAAATATGTTGTGAGTAAAGTGCCAAACTGAAAAGAAAGCTGTAACAATTGCGGAATTGGTCAGCAGGGGGCACTGTTTATGTCTCTATAACAGCTATCCAGCTTATCATTTTCAGGGTCGCGGGGGGCGCCGGAGCCTATCCCAGCCAGTGGCGTGTCTACAAAATTTTTGTTGGGGGGCCAGGTAGGGGCACAGATTTGGAGAAGAGTGGCAGATGTAATTGGCAGATAATGTTTAAAAAAAAATTCTACCAACCGTTAACCATAATTCAATAATCCTATAAACCTAATAACCAAATGCGCTTTTAACTCTTATTAGAATGAGATTTTAACCACTACGGTGCAAAGTTTTTAGATACTGCGTTGATAAAGTACAAGAGATACAATCAGTCAGTGTTTACTCAGCAGTCAAGGACAGCAATATTTGCATAGTATTTTTACTGACATGTAGTGCA